TTAGAATATAGAACAAATCAATGTTAATTATATAATTCAGTTTGTATTTGAATCTATTTCCACTACAATTAAAACAAAAACGTATATTGTTCACAAAAAATTGTGTCTTACTTCAGCGTGAATCGAAAAGCATGTCATATACGGGGAAAATAACTAATGACACACGGGACAACATATAGTTTCCAGTTGATTGAATTTCATTGAAACCCAAGAAAAAATTTAACGTCTTTGTTAAAAAAAACAGGCTTCAGGTCCAGGCCTGTCAGAACGCGTCGTGGCGCCCTTATTGTTTACAAATATTTCGATCGAAACTGTAGTCCAATGCATCATATTTGGTATAATTTCAGTTTTAAAATGTCTTCGATCTTGAAACAAAATCTTTCGTTTAAGTGTAATTTTATTATTTAATTTTCTTTGGTAAACAGCGTTTTACATTAACGCAAATATGTCGCACTTGCAGAATAAACAAACCTCGTCCCCAACATGCAGTGGTTTGACTGACATTGAACGGTATACATAGTAAAACTAGGGCTAGTTGGTTTCCATTTTGTGCCGTCTACCAACTTGTTACATATACTATAGATCGACACTTAACAACAACTGGCAATATTTTCTGGATTGTGTCTGGGTGTTTTCCGTGAAACTGTTATTCTACAGCTAAGTGTTCACTCCGATTGGTATGATAATATGATAATAAACAAATAGTATTGTTCCATGTATCAAGAGTAAACATACCAGACACTAACAAATGACACAATGTCGTGTCACTGTATATTGATCTAATTATTTAGATTTAAATCATCTAATAAACAACAGTTTTGCTACGATATCCGTTTTGAAAAAAGGTGAAAGAACGTCAGTCAAAATCGGTTGTTTGTGATGAACAAAATACTGGTATTTCGATTTCCATTTTTGGCTCGCTGTAGACAATCAATATCCGTTTTTAGTTTCCCGTCGAATAAAAACGTCATTCTATTTACCTTTACTATACACGCGACCCGCGACGACGTGGAATGACACGTTAAATAGACGATACAGATCCCGAGTGTGTTAATTGAACAATATTAAAATATTTTTTTTCCTTCCCAGAACCTCACAACTGCTTTTGTAATGAATATTCGTGTTAATCAGATACCTAACCTATATAATGAAGAAATCATCCGATATTGCGAGCTTAAAAATGAGATGTTTAATATAAATGTGCTCTCCTATTTAACTGGTTATTAGAACAAAATTTATGCCTAAAATATTATTTTCCAAGCTTAGATTCTGTCTGTGATAAATTTCAGTAAAATTGGATGATGATGATGCATTTTAAGACCACAAACAGTGACGTAAATCTAATGGCCCATATTGTTTTTATTAAGTTAAATTCAAGAATAAGGCAGTTAAATTAATGATTACTTTCCATATCGATGGTCTACTTTCCATCACATTTAGTGAGTGTACTACAATGATATACCCAGTCGGTATCAATATTAGGACGACTACAGAATAGGTTTCATATTTGACTCAGGACCTTGAATTTTATTTACGTATCGATTTACATGTGTGAAGCAAAACTATAGTGATTTCACGAGACGTATCGAACGGACATGCGCAATCATTTAATTCCTTTCAGTCCAACAAGTAAAGAAAACATAATGTTTGAGTTTAAAGACTATGCGATCTATTCACTTCACGATATACATATTGTCCAATGTCAAACGAACGTTCAACACATTGGGACACATTCCCCATTAAGAAGACAGAACTAACAGCAATGGTATGATAATTAACAATATTTTATAGTTCATAATTCAAAATATACATTTTATTTTAATAATTCCCTGAACTAGTTTTATTTAATTAAGGCACATAGAACACAGACAATGAGTATTACGAAGCAGACTAATAGATTCACCGAGCATGCGCATCCGCTGCGACTACCGTGACATATGGCAACACTATCAATAG